AATGCCTCACACCTGTGGAGGCCCCAATGGCTCCGATGAGAACGGAGGGCACGGCCATGACAAGGCATCCAAACGCGGCCAGGAAAGAGAGAACCTGTGCATAGGTGGCGGAGGAGGCAGATAACACCCTTTGGAAATACACTTGCCAAGGTATTCCTCCCAGCATCTGCAGCATGATGACCACCAGGAAAAACACATTTAAAAGTGAGGTCCAGGACTGAGAAACCTGAATCTGAAAGCACCAAAGTCACAAATCCATCCTGTTCTACAGATTTTAAAAGAAAGAGAAAATGAATATCCTGACAGACAGTATTTAAAGTTCAAAATATGGAGAGGAGGACAGAGCAAATTAAGTATTTCAATTAAGTAATTTCATAAGGGAATGATTGTGTTGGCATGAATGAATGATTTACTTGGCCAACTGTCTAACAATGTAACAAATTCATTTACTGACTAATTTCTAGATTAACAAATGAATAAAGTCAATGAAGTTCATCTACTTTTAAGCCAAACCCAACAAGGTTAATCAACACATTAAAAATGGTTGTGAACAAAATCAGTTTTTGACTGCATTCTAGAGTTTTAAGATCTAATATTGTGAGTTGAATAAACATGTAGAGACAGTACCAGAAGACAGAAGTTGTCAAGCCACATCCAGGTGTCTTCCTTCTTGATGCTGCCTCTCCATGGTGACTGATAAACCCTCTTCACTGCGGTGACGGTGATGTCTGACACCGCAGCATTAGTCAAAGCAAAAGGGACGCTGATCCACTGCAAGCAAACAGACGTCAGTAAATACACAGGAAAAACAACACAAACTAGGAACAGAAGAGGTTTGAAAACACAATGAATTGATTTCTAGGGACACATGAACTTGACATTACTGTATTTCTGTACATTTCTTTCTCTAATTCTGAGAGAGATTGACCAATGCATAAAATTAATCAAATGCTAGTCTTGAACTTACAAGGCCAATAAAGATACAAAACAGCTGCACCACATCCGTGTAGGCCACAGAGTACAGTCCTCCAACCAGGGTGTAGAAGATTGCTATGAGTGCAGAGATTACCACTGACATCTTGATGTTGATGTCCACAATGACACTCAGAGTAGCACCTAGGTCAAGAGAAGGTCGAAGGACATCACAGCCCCCCGTAGTGTCAGAAATTCAGATACGTTTTGAGGTATATCCAAGAACATTTTTGTTCTGCTGTGTGCAGACACATGAACTTACCGAGGGCGGACAGGATGGCAGCAGACCAAAAAATCTCACCCATGAACGCAGGTATGAAGAGAAGACCACCCATGCGTTTCCCATAAAGTTGCTGGAACGGGTCCAGCATGGTTACGTAACCCCTCGAGCGCATGGGCTTAGCAAAGAAAAGACCACCTGGGATAAAGAGGGACAACTTGATGGAAATACATGTCAGAGCCCAAAGATTCTACAAAATAAATGGATTTGAATGAAATGATGATAATAAAAAGATTATCACTTTATCATTATTTGACACGTGTTTAAATGTTACCACTGAAAGCTGAACAGAAGAGCATTGAGACAGCCATTTAAGAATGGCATACTACTTAAGAAAACTCACCAACAACCAGACTGAGAGCATATCCAAATGGGGCTTGAGCCCAAGCCAAACCATAGTCAGGAAGATACACATACTCAGCTGTGCCATTGATGTATCCTCCACCCACCCAGGTCGCTGCAAATTACACAAACACGTCACTGAACGTAACTGAAATTACATTTATCTGGACAGAAAAATGATAAAACAAAAAAATTGAAACTCAAATTCGAGTATAAACAAAATGGTCATTTTTATTTGTTTAACATTTCCAATAAATTTAAAAGTTAATCGACTATGGGAATACTCTCTTTAAAAAAAATGCCAGAACTGATACAACAAACCAGGTCCAGTGTTTAGTTGACACAAACTCCACCTGTCATTGTGAATCCACCGACAAACAGTCCGATGTCTCTCCCTCCGACCATGATGGTTTCACTGCGGTCGGTGCCCTCCGCCTCCCCGGAGTGTTTGTTCTTCCATGCCGCCCAGATGCCCACGAACAGAATGAGGAGATAGAAGACCGCGATAGCCACGAGCCCCTCTGCATGGATGGTCATTGTCGCAGTGGTCTTCTGCTAGGAACGGGAGGACATGAAGACCTGCAGAGGAGTACAAAACGTAGTTATGATGTTATGTGCGCCTTTGTGTTTGTGGCAAGTGAAATATCAACATAGTTTGGAGTGGAAACAGTTATTTTTTTATTTTATTTTATTTTTTTTGTTCCGGTTTGAAATACTGACCAGACACACTGAAAAATAAAGACGGGTCCAAGAAACACCAATAAATAATTTTCTTCAATCATTACCTAAATTACCTGGATTTTAAATGTTAAATTGAACTTTGATATAGTTTGTAAAATTACTCGTAAAATTCGGTCATACTATCATTACAAATAAGACGGAAATGTTTTCATAAGAAACCTAGAATATGTGTTTTTTTCTTGTTGGCAAAAATTCCCAATTGAAATAACTGAAAGATACAATTAATCCCCACAAAAAGCTAATATAAACTATATTTAAACAATGCAATTAACTCCACATTACAATGACTTTAATCCGTTAAATAAATCATGTTCTTTTTGTTACTTTAGTTCGGCTCTTTGTGGAGGATGTGTATGCGTAAAAGCCTTATTACGCACAGAAATACTAAATCCACAGAAGCGCAAATGATCTCAGAAACATCCTTTCTTTGTGTCTTTCTTTCTTAATTTTTTTTTTTTTTTTTGAAATAGTATATAAAGGATTGCAGAACTTACCCAAAGTCTTTCCAGAGTCATGCGTGTGGGCAGATGAGCAAAGAAAACGGGCATCACAGTTCCAGCAGCATTGAAATACGCGTCCCTCTTTGTACGGTGGGTGAGCGTAAAGCGAGCCGGCGGTGGGGGTCTCTCGGGTGACTTGCTGAGGCTTATAAAGGGGGCAGATGCCGTCAGAGGACCGAGACACGCGTCAGAGAAACCACCCGTCCCTCTTAATGAGCACCTGGGAAAAAAAAAAAAAAAAAACACGTCACCATGTTCCGGCTGATGTTACTGGAAGAGGGCCGAAATTCCTTTACCCAAGAACATTTTTTTAACTCACTGGATGAAAAGAAGGTTGTTGAAAGCGTCGCATCACGCTTCGAATAATTACAAATTTGTGAAGGATTTTTGCTTGGTCCGCTTCCTATAGTACTTTTTTTCTTTATACTCAGCGCATACAAGTCGTAAGCAGCACAATTCAGATGGCCTTCTGATGGTCGATTTGCTTTTCTTTGTTCACCTGAAGGATGCTGGGACATCCTTCAGGATGTCCCAGCATAAATATGTTATTATTAAAACACGTTGCCGGGAATTACGAACACCCTCTCAAGGAGAAATACTCCATTTCCTCTTTTTTTTCTGTGATCAAACGAATTCGTGGATAAAACACTCCCCACGTTTAAGCAATTAGACCAGTCTTAAGTGTGTGTCCGCCTCTTCCCTTCAGGATATATATCTTTGAGCTGCGTCCACTTAATGGCCACTTCAGCTTGCGCTCCGTTTATCTGAACAAGACTTGTCGAAACTGGCAGGCATCCAATTAGGATGGGTCCCGAGCATGCAGTGAGGTTTAATGATACAATGTGACTTAAAAAAAAAAAAAGATCTTTACACATACACACAGCAACAGGAGAGAGAGAGAGGGAAAAAATCCGTCTTACAGAAGATGATTATTTGTCATGGTAAATGGTGGCAAATGAGCAGGATTCTCTCAGCAGTCAAACAGAGCAATTCAGCACCATGGAGAGAAACCAAAAACATGTAAAACAGGTCATACCGGGTGGGCCACAAGTTTCCATACATAGGAGAATGTCAAATGTATATTTATTTTATATTTCAGATACCCAAGAAGATGCGTTTGACAAAAGAGCAAAGAATTGACATTATACCGCACGAAGCTTTATCAGAAAACGAACGAGCATCACTCACGACACTGAGGGAAAACAAGTTTGCAAGTTTCAGGAAACTGGACATGTTGCTGATCAACCACGGAGAGGTCCAAGACGTGCAGCGATGACATAGCGATGACACAGAGTTCCGCAAAAAAAATAAAATGTTTTTTTTTCTACATATGGAAACATATGGCCCAGCCTGTATGTGATACAGGACATCGATGTTGATATTACTTTTGTACATCGTTAAAGACGATATTACAACTTTTACAAGAAGAATATTCATGTCGATGAAAATAAAATAGATTTGAGCTATGTTTATAAATATCAAGCTTTTCTTAAAGTTTGTCACTCATTCCAAAACTATTGAAATTATACCTTAACTCATGTTTCTAGTTAGCAGTTAATAGGACAGTAATAAAACACCCTGCACTGGCAAACTACATTATGCGCTTTTGTATGGCAGGGTATTTAAAATATATTGCTAACATTACATGATTTACAGACAAACCAGCTTTTGGATCAAAATGAAATTAAATGCGATAACTTTTGAATGATTCTGGAAAATATTTATGCCAAAAAAATAAAAAGACAGCTGGAAAATCTTCTAACTGCATGCTGGACAGATGGTTGGTGCAGAACCTTGAAGCACTTTTAAATCAAACACTGAATCTTAACTTTGGCATTTGTGTGATTTGTTTATAGTAAGAATCTCATTAGATATAAAGTACATGCCTCATGTATTTCTGAGCACAACGATTGTGAAAAAAATATATAAAATAAAAAAAATATATATTGTGTTCATAGAAAACCTTTAAACATCTGTAACTTTACTGATTACATTCAACCGAGTAATTTTTTCGGAGTCATAGGACTGGAGGTTTAATGAGCAGCTGTTGCTGGCAGCTCCACAAAATCTCTAAAAAAAAGAAAGTCTGAATAAATGGAAGAGAGAAAGAGACACAAGATTTGGAATAACCTCTGATATATGAACATAACAGCTGAACATGAATGTTGGATTTCCACAAAATTTATTATTTGAAAATTAAAACACGGAATGGAATAAAATAGAAACAGGCCTTTGAAAAATGCAGTTTCAGCAAATAATCTAAAAATGATATCAGTTTAAAATATAAAACATGATTAATCCAGGACAGCTGACCTTCAGAAATTATCTGAGATCTCTACAAGATACAGACTAAACTCCTTACAGCAAGTCATTATATTTTACAATCACAGAAATATTATAAATCCACATGGTTTACACTGTTACAGCAAGCAGGGGTTTTCTTGATTTGGTTGTTTCACAAATGAAGCGCTGAAGAAACATTGCCTGCTGATGTAGGAGCCTAACCTGCACCAGCTTTTCACAACAAAGACAGCATCAGACTGTCGGATATAACATTTTAAACAAGTAACATAAATTAAAACATGTTTTTCTTTGCTTTCCTGACAACTATCACACACTTTTTAGCATATTTTCCCTAACTATCTAAACAAATTGATAAGGTTTTATTCATAGTTCAGAGTATGTGATATCTGAATGAGGAGGGGTGATTGAGTGAACGTAGCATGAAGAGCTTTGGGGTTCTCTGATCTTTATATGCTATACAAGTACAAGCTTCTTCACAGCTACCATTAGGTTTTGCAAATACCTCAATAGTTCCTCAATGTGATTGTTACTGGAACAGCTTCCTCCATCTGCACTATTTTAGTTACATGTCATTCACATGAAGGAAAACATCTTTGACAGACCTCAAGCTCTAATTAGTTCAATAAAGTCTTGCTTTAGGAACAGTTACTTTCTGAGACAACATTCAAATGATGGTAGAAAAAGTTGTTTCAGCTTTGTTGTTGCTGCTAAACATTATTTAGCCACAATTGACAAACCTTGTATGTGGCATAGGTAAAGGATTAAAATAAAGAAATGTATTGATTTTAATTTAGTGCTTTAAAGTCAGATTATTTCTTAGAAATAAATGCAACTTAAAGCCTTTGTAGCTGCCACTTTTAAATCTGTGAGCTTAGTTGTCACACTGTTCTGTCTATATATATATATATACATATATAATACTGATTAATTCTAACCAAAAAAGGCTTAAAAACAAAAAAATTTTTAGAAACCAGGGCTGAAGTACTACAGGTTAACATTGACGAAACAAGCTGCTTTTATAGCAAGCACTAGGTCAGTCTATATAAAAAGATCAAAGCCTTAAAAAAACAAACAACAACAACAAAAAAAAACAAACAATCTTTTGTATAGACTGTAATTTTATGCTTTCTGGTCTTCCTTTGATTCATTGAAGTACTGAGAGTAAACTGAAAGCAGCCTTTTTGAATGATTGCATCTTGTTCACTGGAAATGGAATCAATCCAAAAAGGACAGTAGCTGGAATTTAGCTTTGCAGAGACTGACTTTGACTTATTTTTGCAGTTTTCACCTACTTATTTCACATCTGTACATACACTGACTTAGTATTTGTATATGACTGTTTCAGCTAACTATGTTCTATTTAAAAGGGAACATTACAATTGGTATTATTACACATAAATTATATTCTCTTTAAAATAGGTAAATTTGTTGGAATGTTGTTTTTCATTTTTTATTTATTGTTTTGTTTATTGTCCTAGAGTAACTTTGCTTAAAATTGAGCAGAGCTCCATTCTAAATTATATGAAGTGAAGACAAAGTGCCTGTCGTTAGTGTAAGCACAAAACAGCCAATGTAGTTTTGAAAAAGACAGGAATCTCAACACATTTTGCCTCTTTTTTCTTCTGATTCCCAATGATTTTACAATGAAGTAAAATTTACCCAAACAACAATGTATCTTAACAAATCTTAAAATTTTATAGGAAGCAATTACCAAGTCCACCTGCTGCTTTTTGTGCACTTCTCTAACCAAGTGAAAATGTGGTCCACTTGCTTTTTAGACATTTGAATTTTTTGTTTTAACACTTATATATCATCGGAAACAGCTTCAAATGGTGCTTCAAAAACAGCAAAGCAATAATTCAAAAAAACATCTGTGAATCCTGGTGGTCATTCTGGTGGTTGCTCCTCACGCGCTCATGTTTTCATTGTTTTGATTTGCTCTAGAAAAGGAGGAAAATGATTATTCAGCAAAATATAACATATATGAATATTAATAACAGACAGCTGTTTCTTTGAATCCTCAGGGTTACTAAAAGAAAACTGGACAAAGATGAGTCAGGATGAAGAGTTTACATGGTGGGTTTAATTTAAATCTAATGTTGAATGTACTGCATAAAATAATATCTATGTGTATAAATAATATTCATTTCAGTAATGATACTTTTCAGCTACCACAGTCCCTTCATGTATTTCCCATTAGCAAAAGCCAATGAGACTAAGATCAAATTGCTTGATACAAGTAGGTTTCTCACTTAAATACATTGCACAGGTGGCTTCATGTGAACTCATGTACTTGGGATACAACAACATAGGAAAGGGAACCAGTTAAAAATCCTAAACAAATACAACACAAGTAGTATTAAAAAGCAACCAGTACTCACTGTATAATTTGATCTATGGAAGGATTTGAATGAGGGCATTAAACATAACAGAAGAAAAAAAGACATGGACATTCTCGGACAATTAAACATATTTATTATGAACATGCTTTGGAAAAATAACTCCGTCTTGTTAAGAGATGAAGACATCTTGAAATTTGAGATATCAAGATAGTAATGAGAAAATTGAGGAAACAAAGATATTTTAATAAATGATGAGACAAAAATGATGTAATTATCTTCATTCACATGACAGCTCCCTGTTATGGAGGTTAGAACTAAATGTCTCGTTGGTTTATCTCTTCCTCATTTCACAACCACTCCACCTACTTAACCTGATGTTATAACCATTTCGTTACAGAACTCTAACTAGGTTGGAAAAAGTAAGACTGGGGTATTACTGTGGATAGGAAACTAATCTGAACAGCTGCAGTTACATTAGAAAGGCAATAACAGCAGCGGTGGGTTAATTTGATATTAGAACAGCTGCTTCGAATAAATTGGCAGTCTGGTATATCAAATAACCAAATAAATAAAAGCACTTCCCAAACTTTCTAATTCCGTGCTGTGTATGAAAACCACATACACAGCATGAAGCTTTTCTTCAGCTATGGAGCCTAATTAGCCTGACCATTACCTTTCTATGTCATTCTACTTGATTATCATCTGCCTTCAGTGATCCACTGGGATAAAAACATGAGGAATATGACCACATGTGTGTGGTTGTTATTTTATTAGATTTTGAATGCTATTCTTGTCTCAAATTGACTAAAATGTATTATTTAAGAATAAAGTAGAAAGCAAAGTAAGCTTCATATTAATCTAGGGGGCAAAGAAACAATCGGACTGCATTTTCAATTATGCACATTAGGTCTCTTACCTTGGAGCCAGTTGACTCCTTCTTGTAAACCGTCTCCTCTGATAGCATCGGTGGCACTGGAAAAGAATAAATTTGTTCTGAAAAGCAAAAACCTGCAGCCACCCAGGCATTTCTACCAACCATGCAGAAAAAAACAAAACAAAACAAAACAAAACACTTATAAGAAATCCAAAAGTTCTGTACAAAAATCTATGACTGGTTCTATACACTCTTGTGGTTTAATAGTTATGTTAGATTATTATTAGTAGTGTACAGTTTATGAGACAAGTAGTTCAAAGAGTTTTAATCTGTTCATACCAGATGTACCAGGGCTTGTCTTTGATGTTTTCCAAACAGAGCATCTGTGAGACCTTGACAGAAGACAGAGCGTCTCTGACATCCATCTTGTTAGCAAAGAAAAGGATGGGGATCCTCCTGTGTCTAATATCTGCAGCAAAACGGTGAGGAAAGTGTAAACAAACCACAGTTGTGATGCTGCATAACAAGGGACAATATTTTGACACTACTGCTTAATATTTGACACAATATTGCTTAGCATGTGTTCTGCAAAGTGGTTCACTGTGTTTCTCACGCATGAAGTGCTTTGTTTTCCATACATACATACATACAAAAAAAAAATAAAAAGGGTTTTACTTTAGAGTCACTGATGTTTGTGTCTTTTTATAAAATATAAACCAAAAATCTGTATTCAAACTTCTGTGGTTTAGACACAGAACAGTATAAAAAACTCTGCAGACAAATAAGAAAGCGCTTACCGGGATGATTTAATAATGTTTCCAATTCTTCTTTGGCTACAACCATTCTTAGCTTGTCTGCACTATCAATGACAAATATTATAGCCTGCCCTTCCCTGAGAAGAGAATAATGGGAATAAAATGCATGTACATCACCAAAAAGGCAAAAGATTGTATGTGTGCACTCACTTGTAGTAATGCTCCCAAAGATTCCTGTATCTGCCTTGACCGGACATGTCAAAGACGGTAAATGAAAGACTGGAGAATAGAAAAAAATCAAGTTGGAAACCTAAAAGTTATCATAAGAAGCAAATATTCTATCACCTATTAGACGAAATGTTCAAATAAAAACAAGGTGGTACAACAATAATACATTTAATTTTTACTATATAGTATTAAGTATATACCTGGATGTCTTGAACTTCTCTATGCTGAAGCCAATTGTTGGAACAATGTCTTGCACCTGGGCCTAAAAGAAAAAGAGAATTTCAGGAATGGCTCAAAGGCAAGTTCACAGAGGCAAAGCTAATTATATTGTCATGTAAGAAAGGAGTCTTTTTTTTTTACTTAATTGCGTTGTAAATAATGTGCAACAGCAGATCAACATAACTACAGGAAAGCACATTTGAAACACAAAGAGAACATGCACAGCGTATGTCAGTGTGAGCTGTATTAAATACAAGTGCACACATTTCACTGGATCATTAACTTACATTGGAAGGCTTGAGTTTGTTGATGATGGTGGTTTTGCCACTGTTATCCAGGCCCAGGCAGATCACATTCACCTCCTTCTTTAAGCCCAGCCATCCGACCAACTTGTCAAATAGTCCCATTGGCTAGCAAGCAACCATCGGCTGTGAGCCTTCAATGAAAAAAGTTTAAAAGTTAGTAGGTCAAAATTACAAATGAGAAGAGATAAGGAAAAGAAAAGAAATCTGTAATAGACACAAGTCAGTCACACTTCCCCAGCTGCAATGATGATACGAGTTTTCATTAACTAATATTTTCCTCTCCTCTTTTTTGTTTTCAGCCATCATTATGCGTCTTCCCCTCTTTTAACCTTTATTATCTCAAACACTGAGATTTAAATAAGATGTTGGTGGTTAATGTCCATCTAACAGGCTAAATATATTAATGCTTTGAAGAAGGTGGATCCTTGGCTACTAAAATATTATAGCATAGTATATACACTACTCCTTTCCATTCATTATGGCTACTCAACGGCTACATTCGTCCAGTCATTCTTTAAGAATGGAAGTTGTCTAATTTTGATATTGAAATCAATAAAACCTTCATCCAGCTCTGATTAAAATGAACATTTATTGTGCAAGTGCATAAAAAGATGCACCACACTGATCTGGTTGCTAGCTACAATGTTTTTAGAAAACATTAGCCTCCTTTACGTTTAGAAAAGCCCAGTGTATCCTAAAACAGAGCAAAGATCAGTGAGGAACAGAAATTCCTTTCATGCTGAGAAATTAAGCGACAAAACTCTGGTACAGTTACATCGAGCAGTATCCATATCCCTCTTATTAGCTGATCCATTCGAAAATATGTCCATGGTGCTAAGCCTCTTTCACAAAAAGTATAATGCAGAGCAAAAAAAATGCTTTGCTAAATAATAATAAATGTAAATGGAATTCGTTTTTTTTTTTAAATAGCAACCACTTTATTTTCCATGAACATCGAACTAACATTTAGGACACAATTGTATTTAAATAATAATAAAAAAGAACAGAAGAGCATTACTTACAGACATAGGTGTTTGGTGGTTCTAACCAGATTTGGTCGCATTTGCTTCACCATAACAGCTATTTAATCTCTGTTACGATAGTCGCTAGCAAGCCACTGCTAACCGTTAGCTGTTTGAAAGTTAACTACTTCAGGCATTTCAATACGACACACTCGTATTTCCTTGGTCTTTCTACAAAAAAAAAATCGCAATATCTTTCCACTCTGAATAATCCAAATGTAGCTCTGCAATTGTAGCGAATACCAACACCGCTGTTAGCCTAGCTAAGATATCGCTAACGTTAGCCCGTATTATCCTGTCGCAGATCGTTAAGTAGAGCTGTAACTTACCTGTAATTCGCCCGTGCTATGTTGCTAATATTGGATCAGCTAGTGCAGTCCCATTTAACTAACTGACGTTTCATTCATTTCTCTGATGCTCTCTCGTATTACCTAAAATAAAAATATAACTGGATATTTACACTACGTTGCTGGGAGACCACTCTCTTGCCGCTAGGTTGGATCACCGGGGCAACGGAAGGCACTTTCTGGTTTTCAACGTCAGCCGCACAGGGGTCTGCCGTGATTGGTCAATGTGTTGCTCGGCAACGATTGGTCTACTCTGCTGTGATTACGTTGATAGTAATCAGATCTATGGATAGAGGTGCAATGATGTTCGGTAAACCCACAATTTGAAACCTTTAATCGTAATGACTATGAAGGAGAAAACTGAGCGTTATTATTTGTTGGCCGTTTGTTATTTTTAAAAAGCCTGCAAAGCACATTTCTAAAACTTGGCAAATATGAAATTTTCCGCTTCTGTTGTCAGCTAGGACTAAATTACACAAAATAAAAATGAAAAGTGAATTTCAATGCTATGACTACTAGTGTCGAGGTGGGATGGTGGTGGGGTTAGAGCAGCAGGGGTTCTGCAATGCAATTTAATTGTTGTTAAAATACACTTTAACATATTAAAATTGCTAACATTACTAACCAAAACTGTTTGCATGGAATAAAGAAGCCTGTTTCTCGTAAGGTTAAAATGTCCATGTAAATAAAGATTTGAAATAAATCGAGAAGAGAGTGATATTTGGCATGATTTTCATCTTTTACCCGCCTGTTTGTTTAAAATGTAAATCTTATGATATTCAACATCTAGTCAAAAACAAATTGCACCATGTGATTGGTCAATAAAAATAAGGACTATGACCATGTACTTATCACCATATGACCTTCAAGTGTCTGTTTATATATACCTGATAAGACTTCATGCCTTGAAGACTGTTCACATGAAGGCGATCGTCTACAGATGCTTAAAGTTTCTCGTTTATTGTTGTGCATTAACCACAAAGCCAGCGTTGCACAAAGATGTTTTTTAGAGTTTGAGCAAAAAGCAGCCTTAAAATATAGTTGTTTATTAAGGAAGAAACTTACAGAATAAAACATACAACTTTCACAAGACTTCTTTTTGTACAAGACATACTGCATTATCATGAGGAGAGAACATACATTTCTAAAAAATAAATAAATAAATAAATCGTTTGACATTCAGTGGTCTTCAGTTCAAAAATCATTGTGGAATATTTCTTTGTTTAAAACCAGTTGGAAATCTTAGAACCACATTATTTCTCATACGTCACCAGATGGTATATATCCTCTCCTCATCTTCCCTGGTCATGAGGTAACTGAATTGACACCTTTCAAAGTCAATAGAAACAATTGGATTGTCACTTGGAAAGATAAGAGGTATTGGTGAACACTTGAATAGACACTAGAGACATGAAGTCCTAAATTCAAGTGAATGCTAGTACTTGCTGAGATAATAAAAAGACCCGGTTTGGCCAATGCTGACAGAGGTTGATTGTTGTGGAAGCTGTCCGAAGAGATGATAGTTGGGATTATGAGTGCAACTTATCTGGACAGCCATGGGTCTTAGAACCAAGACCCCTCCCTCATGCGCAGCACGTGGTACTGGCAACACCTAACAGTCCAGTGTTTGTGCAATTGGTTGGATAATGATGCCAAGGATCTGCAGCCGGATGTGTAAAAAGAGTCTGGTTTTGTGAAATGGTCTCAAACTTGAAATCCACTCTGATGGATGTGATGAAGTTGCAGTCGAAGAGACTGTATGCTGCTTATGATTCTCCTCTGGTGGCCAATCAAACAGACTCCAATGCGTTTGATGTCCCTGAAGAGGAGAAGGAGAATTATCTAGTTTTAAATAAGAGCATTAGACAAAATCTTTGCTTGGACAGAAACCTGAACTTTAAATGCTAAAATCAAGGAAAGTTGAAGAAAGGTAGGTCTAAAACGTTTACATATTTAGCATAGCAGGGGTAGTGTAATAAAAAACAAACCTCAAAATTAAATTTTTTATAGAAATATTAGAAATCCTGAAAGTGTGATGAAGTTGTATATTTAGTTACTTTTAATGTGAACTCAAACCAGATCTCCACACATTTGTTTGGCATGTCAAAAATCACAAGCATCCTACTTTAACCTTTTGCATCAAATACATGCCTTCTCATATACAGCACTCTACAGAATCCTCACAGTTCTTGATGCAATGCGTTGATAGTGTTCCCATTGTTTTTTTAGTTTAATGCAATTTTTTATTCTATTTGTGTGTAGCATCACCCTTTATAATTTAGCTCCACTTACTCTATACTCATAGTTGCAATAGAATCCAGAGTAGTGTATCCTGCTGCAAGGAAGTTGCTCTTATACTGGCTCATTTTGATGGAGTCCAGCCAATCGCCGATAGAGATGAAAAGAGGATAGTCTGGCATCTCCTCAGGAGAGTCTGAAAAACTGAGAAGACAAACAACATATTAGCTGATACAACATCAAGTTGGCATGCCAACAAACTGAATGGTTGATTTTATTTGGCTAGTTAATAGTGCAAAGTGAATTAAAAAAAAAATTAAAATACACTTTAGATTTGCTACTCTTCTTTCACTATGAGGTACGAGATATACTGTATCCTTGTTTTTTCACTCATGATATTATGACTTTATTCTAAAAAATATGATATTATTCTCATATTATCTCTACTTTATTCTCATGTGACTTCACTCTTGTAATATTATAACTTTTATTATCATAATACAACCTTATTCTCATAATATTATAACTTTATTCTCAAAATGTTATGACGTTATTCACGTAATTATTAAAAAAAAAACATTTCTTAGCACGGTTGTAGTACTCCTTTGTTTGTGGTTTGAAAGCAGTCAAAGACATTTATAATAAATTGACATTTACCTTAGAGCGTCATTGACCAGAGTCAGCATACTACAGGGATTAATTATGAGTTTGTCAAGGAAAGAAACCACATCATTGAAGCTTGGACGTTGGCTGGACTCCTTCTGCCAGCAGTGCAGCATCAACTGGTGTAAGGTCACAGGACAGCCGATTGGTGCTGGCAGACGATACCCTTCTTCAATTGATAAAATAACCTAAGAGAAATGTGAGAAAAAAGCAACAACTGGATTAAACTTTTTTATTCTTAAAATGACATCATTTTTGATAATCTTGCAGCTTTTAATGATTGTATGTAAATAGAAACTTACATCTTGATTGGACATTTCCCAGTAGGGCCTTTCACCATATGACATCACCTCCCACATAACAATGGCATAGCTCCATACGTCACTAGCTGAAGAAAACTTTCCATAAGCAATAGCCTCTGGTGCTGTCCAGCGTATTGGTATTTTTCCTCCCTGATTCAAAGTAACACAGAATCATCCTTTGACGCTCAGTTTGTTTTACCATAACATAACTTTTGAGTCGCCATTTCCACACTCACTGTAGCTGTGTAAGCGGATTCAGAGTCGTCTTCAAGGATCCTAGACATGCCAAAATCTGACACCTTACACACCAAGTTTTCATCCACCAAGATGTTGCGAGCAGCGAGGTCCCTGTGAACGTAACCCATGTCTGAAAGGTATGTCATGCCGACTGCGATGCCTCGCAGCATACCGATCAGCTGGAGCACAGTGAACTGGCCCTCACGGGTCTGGAGTTTGGAGATGTAGACGGAAGAGAAAACAAGATAAACAAGTGAGTGTTTTGTCTTTACACTATGAAGACGTACAAATAAATATTAGAATAATAAAAAAAACTCAATACCCGCAGGAAAGTGTCAAGTGCTCCATTTTCCATGTATTCCACGACTATCATCACTGGTCTACCTGAGAGAATGGAGAAAAGTACTTGTGTAAAACGATTTGAAAGATGCGTGCAGAAAACAAAAAGGGATTGGATTTTAAAAGCGGGCCTCTATTGAAAGGTGATTACAAATAACATGAGTAGACTGCTGGTAAGATATACAAAATATCAGAACTCAATAAAACCATTGTTTTTAAGAACAAAAAAAAATATTCTGCTCACTCTTAGTGACAACTCCCTCCAGCCTGATGATATTAGAGTTGTTGAACTGTCCTATGATGGAGGCCTCGCGCAGAAACTCCCGTCTCTGCTCTTCCATATAGCCACCTTTGAGGGTCTTTATTGCCACAGCAATGTCCTTTCTTCCAGGAATACGCAGGCGCCCACTACACACCTCTCCAAACTCACCTGGTAAGACAAATCAAGACTAACTATATCAGACTCTTTAGTGATGTATTATGGTTATTTTCCTTCTGGTATTAATTAACTCTTTATATTGAGATTTATCAGACACAACTTTACATTTTAGGGTTATAAAAATATTAGAATATTTGAATGTTAAATGTTTCAATTAAAACTGCAACAGAACTTTGTCATTTCGCCTTTATATTGAATATAGGTAATTGCGCTTCTTGTCCACTAGATGGAGGCTGTGTGACAGGAAATCATCAAATGGCAGCAAATCTTGGTATTTAGTGCAGGGGCCATCTGTTCAGTTCAATGAAAAGTGTTGATTGCAGTACGCAGTTTCAACTTTTCATGTCTAAGCCACAAAAGCATAAATTTCCTTAAAAACAGCTACAATTAGACACCATAAAAACCTCCAATGACAAGTTTATAGTATTAATCATTAATTTTTACTATCTTCCTTGACATAAAATGAGATCATGTCTCTTTCTCAAGTGCCCAATAATAATAACTGAGACAGCTTAGGCAGACTTGTGTAATATTTTTAGAAAACAGCACCTAATTTAAGGTGACACCACACTTTCAAAACGCTCTCAAACTTCCAGGCACTGTGTAGAAGTTCACAAATTATAGCAATCTACTGATAAGGATTAGTAATAATCTCACCAGCACCAATCACTCTGTCAATGCATATGTATGAGGGGTCTATCTCCTTTGCAAATTCTTCCACAGCCTGTGTCGGGTCTTCATATGTGTCTGGATCCACGTACGTCTTTATTCCAGAAAATGGAACTGATGCATAAAAGAGAGATATGAAAATCAAGACATGATATTAGATATTTCTTTCAAACTTTCCGTGGAAGTTTTTCAGGGAAATGTTGGTATGTACAAAACTATACACTATAGACACTCAAATTAGAGATATTCTGTAACAACATAGAACAACTTACATGAACTGCATATCATATTT